ATGTCTTTACCAGTTTGGTGTGAAATGATATCTAATTGTGGTTCGTATTTGTATTTCCCTGATTGAGAGTGAAGTGAAGCATCTTTTCCTATGTTTATTGGCCATTTTGTTTGCCTTTTTCTTACGGTAAATCAGTGTTCTTATTACATACTAGTGCTGCAATATCTTTTCCCAGTTTGCAGACTTTTTCGCTTTGCTAATGTGTTTTGATAATTAGGAATTTTGATTTAAGTAATTAAATTTTTTGAGGGAAAGCGTGTGCTTGCATGTGACCGTGTGTGAGTGGGGGAGGGGCAGAGGGGGAGAGAGAGAGAGAGAGAGAGAGAGAGAGAGAGAGAGAGTCCCAAGCAGGCTCCATGCTGTCAGCGCAGAGCCCAAGGTGGGGCTCGATCCCATGAATTGTGACATTATGACTGGAGCCAAAATCAAGAGTTGGACACTTAACAAACTGAACCACCCAGGTGCCCCAAGAAATTTTAATTTGAATATAGTGAGTTCATTAATCTTTCTTAAGGCTTATACTTTTTGTGACGGAAAGAAACTCCTTCCTTAACAAGTCACTAAGTTGTTCCTTCATATTTATTTCTCCTAAGCTCACTGTTTTGTTTTTTCACAGTTAGGTCTTCAATTAGAATGTGAAGTAGGTGGGGTACCTGGGTGGCTTAGTAGGTCAAGCTCCCAACCTCAGCTCAGGTCATGATCTCACAGTTCGTGGGTTCAAGCCCCGCGTCGGGCTCTGTGCTGACAGCTCAGAGCCTGGAGCCCGCTTCGGATTCTGTGTCTCCCTCTCTCTCTGCCCCTCCCCCACTAGTGCTCTGTGACTCTCTCTCTCTTTCCCCAAAATAAATAAACATTAAAAAAAAAAAGAGTGTGAAGTAGGGTCCACTTTTACTTGTTTACACGTGAGAACATCACCGTCACCATTTAACAACTAGCCTGTCCCCTCCTCACTGCTCTGTTGTGCCAACCCTATCATAGACCAAGTTTTCAGACATATGTGGATCTGTTTCTGGGCTCTCTATTTTATTCCATTAATATCTTTTCTACCCTCGAATCAGTTCCTCGCTGTCTTAATTATAGCTCTATAAGAAGACATGAGATGTGTTAAGACAGAAACACGCCCTGCCGTCCCTTCACACGCAGCAATCTTATTTTTCTTATTCAACATTGACCAGATTTGGGGCACCTGGCTGGCTTGGTTGGAAGAGCGATCTCAGGGTTGTGAGTTTGAGCCCCATGTTGGGTATAGAGATTACTTAAAAGTAAAAAAATTTTAAAATAAATTGACCATATTTTTGTGCAGAGGAGGGACATAGCCTGACTCACATTTTTTTTTTTTTGCACAAAAATTCAAGACATTTGTTAAATATTAGAAGATATAAGAGTCAATGACAATTGCTACTTGACGATTGAAATCAAAATCATCTTGGTGCAAATAGATGACAAATATTTTTGCTATTTATCTGTATAGGAAAATCTTTTGAACAAGTGGAAAAAGTTAATAAATCTCTATAATTAAAACAACACATCTGACTCACAGTTTTTAAAAGGGCCACCCTAGCTGTGGAAAGAATAATAATTAATGACATCAGGGAGAGGGAGGAAGAAATTTCTAGAACTATGTCCTTGAACAGATGAAAATGGATGGCATCCAGTGGAAGTAAGAGGGATTAGTTCCAGAGTAACATGCAAGGTTCAGGCATGGTAATTAAGGCAGAGTAGGTGACCGCACAGGCTAATAGCTGTGGCAATTCAGAGACTGGCGGTTTCCTTCTGATTGCTTGAATCTCTATGAAGTCATCAGTTAAGCGTGAGGTGTTCAGGGTTTAAGAAGAAAGGAGACAACGTAGAATCACTATTGAGGGAATAGGGAAGGAAATGCTTGCCTCGGGTGGGGGCACTAAGAGCCCATTGGAGGTCTGTGGTCATTAATTCAAAGTGAGACCAGTCAGCATGCCAAGGGTGACAACAGTGAAAAGAGGTAGGGCCAATAGATTGGAGGCTCTATGGTCAAGGGATTGATGGGGTCAGTGAATGGAGGAAAGGGTCTAGAAGCGGGAGCAAGAGAGCGGGATGTGTGAAGGTCACATTACAAAGGGTTACGGTTAGTGGCAATCACAAGCTCAAAGTTGAAAGCAGGGCTGGCTTCATGGCTTGCCACCCACACAGTTGCACAAAGCCCCCCTCCCCCCGTTCACAGGGCCCTGCACTTGGTTTAATGCTCTGCTGTTGCCATGTTGAAATTCCTAACCATTTTTTAACAAGGGGCCTTGCATTTTGATGTTGCCCTGGGCCCCCCAGTCCTGGTTGTTGGACATAGGAGCGCGTGGCTGATGTAGGTGGAGGGTGAGGCCCCTGGAGAAGAGCTGAAGGAGGTGAGAAACTGGAATGTCTCAGGGGAATGTACGTGTGGACTACAATTATGGAGGCTGAGGCAGGAATAGCACTGAAGACAGTGACGATGGGCTAAGAGCTAGGCTGTGCCATGGAGAATCGAGTGGCAGTAAGCCGGGGCACGACATGCCGCAGCAGGGAGGGGCAATAGGTAGGCGACATAATCTAATGATGTGAAACTCAAAGCTGAGGGTTTGGAGGAAGGAGGGAAACAGCTGAGAACCGGGACACGGGTGTCCCCCTCAGGCCCTGCAGGGGGAGGGCTTTGGGAGAAAGAAGCAGCCTTGTAGACGAGGCAGGGGGGGCCATGTCCTGGGGCAAAGCAAGGTTTCCTTTAGAGCAAGGTGGACGGGGATGATTAAAGAATAGGTCAATGACCAGCAAGACTGGGGTTCTTGTAATGATGACAGCAGGGACAAAGGGCATGATGAGATTAGGCCAGGGGACTGAAGGCAGAGAGTAGAGGCAAGACTGTAAGCTTTGGAGCCGAAGAAGGGGCTCCCCCGTCACCATTGGTGATGGGGCGAAGGCCTAGGATAAACATGGTCTTTTTATGTATCTTTAGTATAAATGTATGCTGGAAGAACCATGTTTCTTTTATAAGTTTTTAAGTGGCATTTATAAAATAACAGTTAGGAGCACCAGGGTGGCTCAGTCGGTTAAGCGTCCAGCTTTGGCCCAGGTCATGATCTCACAGCTCGTGAGTTCGAGCCCTGCATCGGGCTCTGTGCTGACAGCTCAGAGCCTGGAGCCTGCTTCAGATTTTGTGTCCCCCTCTCTCTCTGACCTTCCCCTGCTCACACTCTGTCTCTCTCCTCAAAAATAAATAAACATCAAAAAAATTTTTTAAGTGCTTTGCAAAGAAAAAGATCAAATTTGAGCAATGTCTGTCTTTATAACTTGAAGTCTATGGCTTTCGGACTAGTTAACGTAGAAACTCCATTTGCTTTAATCTTTCACATTCCTCTGGTGGAGATTGTCTTAGCTCATAATACAACAGTGTAATTAAAAATGAAGTCATTTAAGAACTTAACATTTGATAGTTGGGTCTCTAAGGACTGTGTGATCAACCAAATGCAACGTATGGACCTCGTTTGGATCCTAATTTGAACGATACCTCCGTGAAAAGAAATATTTGAGACCTCTTCCCAGATGTGCAATACCTTATCACATGTGGACAAGGACTCATGTGAAATGTTGTGTTGCTTCCCATGTGATTTGGGGACACCCACTGGCTTATTCCGGCCTCAGGAAACCCCACAAAAAGGATTGGAATTTGAAGTCAATTGCCAAAGCCTTCACACAAACAGTGATAAAGTCTTCTGTAAAAAGCTTCTGTTAACGCTCTAAGTAGCTTTCTAAATTCTCAATTCAGTCCAATGATTCTTTGGCACAGGTGCAAAGTGGTGGTGGGAGAGTCATCAGATAATTTGAACCTCATGTCAATGCCTTTAATCTCTCACTCCCTCTTTACTTTTTAAACAAATGTTTATTCATTTTTTAATATATAATTTATTGTCTAATTGGTTTCCATAAAACACCCTGTTTATTCATTTTTGAGAGAGGGAGAGCATGAGCAGGGGAGGGTCAGAGAGAGGGTGGGGGGGACAGAGGATCCAAAGTGGGCTCTGTGCTGTCAGTAGTGCGCCAGATTTGGGGCTCGAACTCATGAAGCCTGAGATCACGACCTGAGCTGAAGTCAGACACAGCCAACTGAGCTACCCAGGCATCCCTTTTTTTTTTTTTTTTTTTTTTTTTTTTTTTTTTACATTTTAATGTTTGTGGGATCAGAACATGTTGAATGGTTGGTAGAAACATTTAACGTATGCATTTTTCTCCTGGAAAGCTATTGTTAATTTGACACTTTACATTGATGGCATCTTGGAGTTGCAGAAATACGGTAATGTTTGTATGCTATATCTTGCTTTGGAAATTGTTAGATTGGGTCTGTTGTGTAGATTCCAGTTAGATTACTTAGCCAGTGGCACCAATTCCAACGAAGAACAAAAGCACAGCATGTCACCTCCCTGGACAGAACTCTCAACGTTCTGTTTTAATTAACACTAACTATCTCTATCGAGGTCAATGACACATCGTTTGGCAAACAGTACAGGAACGGCTCAATGGCATTTTGTATGTTGCACCAACTTAGAGCTAAGTGAAAAAAACTAGAGAGAAGTACCAAGACCATGGAAGTAGAAAATTCCCTCTCCTTACCCTCTTGGCCACAAGCCCTGATGTCCACCAGCAGAATTAGGGTCCCCATTTCCAAACCTTTGTCTCTTTCAAATTCCCACAGATGAGAACGCCTGAAAATGATCAGTTTCTTTTTAGGATTCAAGAACGCCAAAGGCACTGCACGCATAATAGAGAGGTATATGCTACCCGGATTTGCCTATGAGAACCTTATGTTGGGGTGCCTGGTGGCTCAGTCGGTTGAACGTCTGAGTCTTGATTTCCGCTCAGGCCATGATTCAGAACCTGCTTGAGATTGTCTCTCCCTCTCTCTGCCCCTCCCATACTCTCTCCCTCTCTCTCTCTCTCAAAATAAATAAATTAACTTAGAAAAAAAGAATATAATGATTCACACAGTTATCTTCCCACAGGTTTAAAAATTTCGTCTACACATACCGAATCTTCAAAGAGAGACATGGGTTTTACAACATACAGGTAAGAATGTACCGGAACTGCTGTAAAAGCAGCAACAAAAGGTGGGGAGAAGAATCTGAGATCATCTCTTGAACCTGAGATGTGGCCACGTAGAGGCATTTTAAAAAGGGAAGCAACATGCAGAGTTTGAGTCAAATCAATAGTTAACCCTGTCTTTCTCTGAGGGAAATAGGGAGAATTTTTGAATAATCAAGGCTGTTATTCAGACCCGTAGAGGTATGCATGACCCTGGATCCCCCAGGGTTAAATGCACCAGCCTGGACTCCATACGGGACCACTGTCCAATTAGAAGACGACGCAATGACCAGGGCGGGATGGAATGGGAAGGTGGGGAGAGGTCTGAATGTATAGGAAGCCATGTGAGCTCCATGGTTATAGGAAAATATAAGGGAAGCATCAGTGGACTAGCAGTCTTGGGGGTTTCTTTAATTTTTCTGGTTTACTGAGCACTAAGCAGAAAAAAACCTTTTTTTTTTTTTTTTTTTTTTTTTTTTTTTTGAAATGATTTCTCTGGCTTAGGAAGTAGAGTATAATAAATTTAACTGAATCTTCACTAACAGGGAATCCTGAAATAATCTTTTTGAAACACTTGCAGACAAGATTAAGCAGATCTTTTTACTGCAAAATATCTCAGAATCTTCAATATGTTAATGTTCATTGTGCATATTTAAAAGAAATTAGAATATGCAGTGATCCTCAAGCACACACACATATCACACACACATATATAGCCATATCCATATGTGTGTGTGTGTGTGTGTGTGTCTGTGTGTATGATGTATGGTGTGTGTGTGATGTGTGTGTATATACATATAATTTTTCATTTCCCTACAAAGGACATTATTAAGGCAATTGACAAAATTTGAATAAGGTCTGTACTACATCGATTAATTTCCTCATTTTATTTTTTTTTTTATTTTTTTTTTTCAGCGTTTATTTTTATTTTTGGGACAGAGAGAGACAGAGCATGAACGGGGGAGGGGCAGAGAGAGAGGGAGACATAGAATCGGAAACAGGCTCCAGGCTCCGAGCCATCCGCCCAGAGCCTGACGCGGGGCTCGAACTCACGGACTGCGAGATCGTGACCTGAGCTGAAGTCGGCCGCTTAACCGACTGCGCCACCCAGGCGCCCCTAATTTCCTCATTTTAATCATTGTAGTGTGGATATGTAATGTCCTTGCTTTTTTTGGAAATATTGAAGCATTTAGGGTTAAAGAGCTATCGCGTTTGCACTCAATCTCAAAATAAAAAAAATATATATATGTATCGCTATATATGCACATACATCTATACACATTTAGAAAGAGAAAATGAAAAGCAAATATACACAATAAAACGTTAACCTTTGAGGGGTAGGTGAAGGATATATATATACAGATTTTAAAAAGAGTTTTGCAACTTTTCTTCAAGTCTGAGATTATTTCAAAATGAAATGTGTTCTAAAAAGCAACTTATATTAAAACTTTTTTTCTTTGTTGTCCATGCTTTGGGAGATCGTGATAATTCCTTAATACCATATTTTGTCTCTTGTCTGGACAAAGCAGAGAGGCATGGAAATCAGTTATAACTCACATACAGGAGGCATCTCACTGAGGGGTAGCAAAACTCTCAGGGGCCTGTAGTGAGTGGATGGGGGCTTGGGTTGAAGTGACGGCCTTATATGGAACTTCCCTGCAGTCTGCTGCAAAGTCTGCCAGAATCTCTGATGAAGGTTAACCACACCACACGTCAGAGAAACTTCTGGTCACCACACCCGTCTGCAGTCTGACATGGAGCCATCTGAGAACCACAGTGATCATCAAGAAAACCATGAACATAGGACGAGGGAAGGACAAATAAGATAAAAACAGAGAGGGAGACAAACCATAAGAGCCTCCTAAATACAGAGAACAAACCGAGGGTTGCCGGAGGGGCGTTGGGTGGGGGGACGGGTTACATGGGCCGGCCCTTGTTGGGATGAGCACTGGGTGTTCTAAGGAAGTGAGGAATCACTAAGTTCTATTCCTGAAATCAGTATTATGCTATATGTTAACTAACTTGGATTTAAATTAAAAAAAAAAAATCAAAATTAAATTTAAATTTAAAAAAAAGGAGAAAACACACACAAGGCACCGTGTCTGACATCGGCTCCCAGAGGGGTACCCTGTGTGGCACCCCAGACAACTTGCTGAGGTTGGGGCTCACTGCAGACCGAGGCGGGACGCCTCAGTCATTATTCTCTTTACTCACAGTAGCTCAAGTCAGAGGCCGGTCTTAAAAACAAAGGTTTCTGTGTATTTCCATTGCTGTGAGCTCTCTTTTCTTTTTCTTCTTCTTCTTCTTTTTTAATGTTTTTAAATTTATTGAGAGAGAGAGAGAGAGAGAGAGAGAGAGAATGCACGGGGGAGGGGCAGACACAGGGAGAGAGAGAGTCCCAAGCAGGTGTGGAGCCCGTTTCAGGGCTCGAACTCACAAACCGTGAGATCATGACCTGAGCCAAAATCAAGAGTCAGGCGCTTAACCCGCTGAGTCCCCCTGGGGGGCCCCCATCGGGGTGAGCTCTGAAGCTTGAACCACCAGCCACTTATTTTCAGTTTGCCAGATCAGAGGTAGCCCTGAAAACCACATCTTTGAGAAGTATCACATTTCACTCACAGTTGAAGGTGCCGAGCCATCTCCTTCTTGTATCTTGGCAGACTGTGGAAGACACTCCCAAGAAGATCTTTCCAGACCTAAAGGAATTGATCTCCGCATTTGAGAAACCAAATCAAGGGCTGGTGGTCCACCTTGTACGGCCCATAAAGAAAACCAGCTCCCACCTGAGATGGAGACGGTCACAGATAAAGTTGGATAATATTTACGGTAAAAACCCTTAACAGGGGGGTCCAGAAGGAACCTTATAGTCCCGTTTCTCCCACTGGCCGACTTTGCCCCATGACCTTGTGCGAACCACCGTTCGGGGAAGGGACGGACAAGCAGGCAAAATTTTCAGATGAGAAAATCGCTCCAAGGCCCTCTCCAAGGCTCATACTGTCACATTCTGCTTGATAAGTGCTAGGGGACGAGTGACTTCAGATACATCCCTAAAGGAATGGAAACATGGCGGAACATGAGAGATGGTCAGTAAATCTAAGTGCCGAGAATCCACGCTGAGGCCTCTCAAATTGTTACCATGAACAGCCGCAACTACTCTCTTACCCCCACCTTGAACCTGCTCTCAGAAAATAGTCTCTCTCGTCAGGTACAATGTGGCTGGAATTTAGCTCAGACCCCCGTTTTCTCATGGTGGCGCGTGTGGCGACGTTCCCAAGCAGAGGGATTTCAGCTATGAGTGGCCAGGTTGGGGGTGTTGGCAGGAGAGTTCCAGGCCAGCTAGGGAGCTCCAGGGAACCTGAAATCACCCCACATTCCACTCTGTCCACAGCAAAATCACCCTCCGGAGTGCCAGGGCAAGCTTCTCACCCCCCCCAACAAAACTAAGCATGGCTTTTTACTTTATTTATTTTAATAAAGTTTATTTATTTTGAGAGAGAGGCAGTGCAAGCAGGGGAGGGGCAGAAGGAGAGGGAGAGTGGGGCTCGAACCCACGAACCGTGAGATCATGACCTCAGCCAAAATCAAGAGTCGGACGCTTCACCGACTGAGCCACCCAGTCGTCCCGAAGTATGGGTTTTTAATGATTAAAATAAACCCCCCCGGGGGCACCTGGGTGGCTCAGTCCCTTAAGCGTCTGACTCTTGGTTTCAGCTCTGGTCATGAGCTCATGGTCATGGAATCGAACCCCACGTCTGGCTGTGCACTGATGGCACAGAACCCGCTTGGGATTCTCTGTCTCCCTCTTCTCTCTGCCCGTCTCCCACCCCCCCAAATAAGTGAATGAACTTTAAGAAAGTAATGAAAGAATGAAAACAAAAACCCCTCCTCCGCCACTGTTTCTCTGCCCCCTGCCCCCTGCACACACAAAGTCACTTCCTATATAGGTTCGGCTACGGGTGTCATCCCGCGGCCATGTTCTACCAAAAATTATAGAAAAAAAGCACAAAGTGGGGGTGGCAGAGGTAGAAACCCAGGAATGTACATGTGCCGAGGGTGGTTGGGGCGGTGGTAGTATCTGTCCAGCAATGATTAAAGAATCACAAATGGAAGAGGAGTGTCCTTTGAAGATCTTTCCTAAGAACTGGGCAGGAGTCTCCCCTCCCCAGCTGCCCATGCTTGATTAGCCCTGGTGGGTGACCCCCCAGAGTCTTCAGCTTTCCCCAAAGGGGAGACAATCCTCTCCCCAGCTCGTTGCCTTCCTCCATTCCCTTGGCCTCCTTAGAATAAGCTTCAGACGCTCTCAGTCTCAGGGAATCACAGGTTTTCTGCCAGGGGGTGGAGGCATCTGGGATGGGAATCTCCGATGCCTAACCTTGTAAAGAGACCCCCCCCCATTTTGTCAGGAGAGCTCCCTGGGGTACCCCAGCCCTTGAAGATGCCACTGTGATGCAGCAACTGAGGTCGTCCTGTGCCTGGAGAGAGGTCTTCTTTCCCTGGAGTGAGGTCGGTCAGTGAGACTCCTGGGCACTGATCCTCATGGCTGGTCTTCTGTTTCTTTCCCCAGAGAACAGTAACAGTGAATATGTGGAGGTCTTGCCTTGAAGACAAGGAGACTGAACAAAGCAATTCGAGAAGACGTCAGGTATCAGCTCTCACCGGTGACCCTGCTTCTCCTGCAGATGTGGACCTGGAATGCTGAGCTGTAAGTGAGCTATTCAGACTCTCCTGGACTGGGCGACTGAAGATGTTCTGTCCACCAGCCTCAGAGAACTCGCTCCCCATGTCCCCACCTCCCATGCATCCACCACGAGCAGCTTTGAAACCCCTTTCCCCCTGAGCACTCTTCTTTCTTGGAATAGGACAGCCTGAACCTATTCTCCCTGACTTATCAAAGATACCACTACATCATGGGTGACACCCTCCTTTAGACCAGGCAATCGGAAGCACAGCTTCATACAGAAGAGAACACACTTGGCCGTGAGCTAGGAGCCTGAGTTCCAGCCCTGTGGCTACGTGACTTCGGATAAACCTCTTCCCCAGGCTGGCTCTCCATTTCTTCATCTGTAAAACAAACACTGCCCCTGCCCCTGTGCTGAGCCCAGCTGTATCTGGTGGAGTTGAGGGGTCCTGGGGTGATGGAGATGTACGTGGAATTGGCATGGGTCTCCATCCTCCCAAACAGCCAACATGGTCTCTGCACCTGCCTGTCCTGGGCTTGGTCATGATGGGGGCCCTGACCCCTCCCACACCCTTCTCCCCCTTCATTCTAGCTCTCCTCTTTCTTACTAATCTTGATATTCCTGTCAAACACATCCATGGATGCATTATCTCCCTGGTTTTGCCCAATTTCACTAATGCACGAACCACTTCAGCAGCACAGATGTAGCTGTGTACCACACTGATAGGTGTGGGGATTTTAAAGGTACCCTCCTTCGTTTGGTTCCTGTTCCCGCTGGATTCTAAGTGCCCCCCAAAGCACGCTTGGGTCTCCCTCCTATTCCCCAGCGTGGAAATGTGTGCTGTGTAGAGCCATGCCCGTTCACAGAACTTTCTGACCGGAAGCACATTCCTGAAGGGTTTGTTGAATTGGTTCTAAGTCCTTTGAATTTTTCTGCTGGTTCGACATTCTAACTAAGACCTGATTAGTGTGGAATGTGCCAATTCTATGCCCATCCTCTTACCTATCTTCAAGCCATAGTGATTCATTTTACCCTACTGGTCTTATCTTTCAAAGTTATTCAAGAGAGGAGCTCGAGATTTCCGGATGACATGAACAGGCAGTGTGGTTGGAGTCCCAAAGTGTAAGCCATTCTGAGTTTCTGGCTCATAGAAATCCAGAGCTATTACCAAGTAGGTAAGAAGTGAAATGCAGTCACCATATTCAGAGAGCTGAGGGCACCAGAAGCAAGCCTGCTTCTTGGGGTTCAGTCCCTAGTCTTTGATTCTATATCCAAAGAAGCTTGTGTCAGTTGCCAGAGTCCCGAGCAATCTTTGGCACAGAAAACATATTCAGGGCCAATGAAAATATATTTATTTCTTGAACAAATGACTGAATAAGTCAGTAGATAAAATGTAGCCACTCGTTTCAGATAGCAGAGATTTGTTTGAGCTTCATTCATTTCAGAACCTAGTAGAACAAGACTGTTAGTTCAAGACCTTGCAATCGTAATTCTCGTAGAAGTGATTTCCTTTTTCTGAGTACCCGTGCATAGCACTTTAAATGATGCTTGGTCCCCCGTGGGATTTCACCACATTTCTCAACCAAGCAAGCCACACTGAGTAGCCGATGTGGATGCCATGCTATAATTTGCTGAAATTTTTTTAGAAGACCTTGAACAGGTCACGTGAAGGACAGTTGCAAGATCCGGGTAGGTGGGACAGGAAGCAGTGTGGGGGGGGGGGAAGGGGAAGACCTGAGAAACAATAATGGCAGGTGTATTAAGTGTTTGGGGTGCCATTCTGTGACAGAGGATACAACGCCTACCAGCAGAACTCACACCAGTGCTGGCTTTCTATAGGAGGGCAGTTTTAGCCGTATGGCAAAAAGAACTCTGAACCCACTAGAACAATCTTACACTAAGAGCCTGCCCTGTGTTGTAGTTTAGGTGGAGGGTGATATTTTCCAAGGATATGGGAGAGATGCGTCCTGCCCCGAGAAGAAATTAGACTGCCTGAATGCTAAGGTACCTTCCAGTTCAAGGATGGTTGGATCCTATGGTCATCTCTTAACAGTTTAGTGGGAATCTCTCTCCCTCTCTTTCTTTTTTGGACTTCCATATGGACTGGTGTTAATCACATCCCTTAATTCTTAACTCATTATCACCATTAATCCATGTAAGACCTTTCTTCTGTTTTATTTCATTGTTATCCTCTTTGCGCCGCATTCCAATGATCATACCCTTCCCCATGGGAAGTTGCTCAATACTATTTGATATATACCTTTGATATGTATGCACCCTTGTAGAAGGTACAGCACTGGTTGTGAATACAGGTCTTTTATATTTACATACACAATATTCTATTGTTCCAATTATGTTATTACCTTTCTCACTGAACACCATGTTTGGTTCTAGTCTATATTGTTGAGTGTAATTCAGTCTCTCTTTTTTTAAGTTTGTTTATTTTGAGAGAGAGAGAGAGAGTGTGTGTGTGTATGTGAGCAGGGGAGGGCACTTGTGAGGGAGAGGGAGAGAGAGAATCCCAAGCAGGCTCCACACTGTCAGCTTGGAGCCTGATGCAGGGCTCAAACTCACGAACCCAGAGATCATGACCTGCGCTGAAATCAAGAGTTCGACATTCAACCGACTGAGCCAGCTGGGCGCCCCAGAGTGTAATTCAGCACCTGAAATGGTGCATGGTATTCCGTAGTGTGCTCTCACCAGCTTATCCTTTCCTCTAGAGATAGACATCTAGGTTGGTTCCAGCACAACGGTCTGTGGAGCAAGCTTGAACGAGTCCCCTTATGGAAGTGTAAGAGAGTTTCTCTGAACTGTATGATCCTAAGATATGCTCAGGTTTAATTATGATGCAGTCAAACCCATCAGGTGCCTTTTGATTCTTCTATAATAAGCTCTTTACTCCGAGATCATGAAAAAAGTTATCCTGCATTTTCTTTCACTTGCTTTTATACCTTTACCCTCTGCAGGTAAGGTTTCAGTGATGGCAAGGTCTCTTGTACTCCTCACTGACACTTTCCCAGTAATGAGAAAAGCCCTTCACACATAGTTGATGTTCAATAAATATTTCTCAAATGAAGGATGAATCCAGGGTGAACCTCTGTCCATGGTAAGAAGTATATCCAACTTTGTATTTCTCCATATAGATTGGAGTAGTTTTCCCATTTCAACCTGCTTAATAGTTAATGTCCCCTCTGATTTATAGTTCCTCCTTTATCCACAATGGTTCCAATGTTCTAATCTTATTGTCTGGTAGGATAGGCACCCTTTTATTTTTCAAACCGACTGAGTTATCTGTGGACCTTGGTTCCTCCATATACATTTAAGGATAAATATGTTACACTGCTCAAAACATCTTGATGGAATTTTGAGTGAATTTGCAAAGAGTTTGTAATTAGGGAAAACAGACATTCTTGTAATGCTGTCCCGTGCATAAACATGCTACGTCAATTTACTCAGGTCATTTTTTTTTTTTTTAATTTAAGTATGCTTCATGCCCAGCGCAGAGCCCAATGTGGGGCTTGAGCTCATGACCCTGGGATCATGACCTGAGCTGAGATCAAGGGTTGGACACTTCACTATATGCTAATTTGGATGTAAATTTAAAAAATAAATAAAATGGTAAAAAAAAGAAAAAAAAGTTGGACATTTAACTAACCAAGCCACCCAGGTGCCCTGTCTTTTTTGTTCTTTAATGGAATCACAAATTTTCACTAGAGAAGTCTTGTATATTCTGTTAGATTAATTCCAAATTGTTTTTAGTTGTTACAGATTCTGTCTTATGTTTTATTACATTTCTAGCAGCCTATGGCAGTGGAAAAATGTTTACTCTCTTGTGTGGATCTACTGGTTTACCCGTTGATCCTACTGTAAATCAAATTGTAAATTCTATGTAAGTTATTTTGTCGGCTGTAAATAACACCACTTTGTTCTGTTTCCGCACTTGTGAATCTACTTATTTTCCATGTTTCCATGCTAAAATCTCGAGTATCCACTAAACAGTAATCACAAAAGGGGTCGTTCTTGTGTGGGTCCCAGCATTGCATGGAAAGTTTAGAAACTTTCTCCATTTCGCCACCACATTTGCTGTTTTCATCAGAAATGTTTTGAAATCTGTTAAGTGATTTCTGCATCTACCGAAATTGTCGCATTCCTTTTGTCTTCATTCCATGAGAGGTAAACTATTGTAATAAAATTGCTGAGATGATCCCATCCTTTCATTGCTTCCCTTGACCATGCTGTATTATTTTCAATAAACTGTTGAACTTGGTAAGTGAATACTTCATTTAAGAGTTTTGCATTAAAGGGACGCCTGGGTGGCTCAGTTGGTAAGTGTCCAGCTCTTGATTTTGGCTCAGGTCATGATCTCACTGTTTTCTGAGATGGAGCCTCCTCTCATGGATCTTCACATTGACCGTGCTGAGTCCAAGCTGGGGAGGGACAGAAGGAGAGAGAGAATCTGAAGTAGCCTTGGGCTCCAAGCCGTCAGCACAGAGCCCAATGTGGGGCTCAAACCCAGGAACCATGAGATCATAACCTGAGCTGATGTCAGATGCTTAACCAACTGAGCCACCCAGATGCCCCAGTCTGGCCATTGATTATGTGTATATGTGTGTGTGTGTGTGTGTGTGTGTGTGTGTGTGTGTATGCTGGCTTATTTCCACATTTTGTAATAAATACATATAAGGCCATTATTTTAGCTCATGGTACTATTTTAGTAGTATCCCACAAATTTTAACATGAATAGTATTTATTGCTGTGTAGGTCAAAGTAGTTTTAATTTCTATTAAAATGTCCTCTTCAATCCAAGGACAATTTAGTAGTTTGTTATTGTTTTTACACATATATTTTAGCTTTTATTTTTGTGTCAATTCCAAACTGTAAAGCATTAAGAGTTCAATAACATGGTTTGACTTGATTTCTGATGCTTCCGTGGTGAACATTCTGTGAATATTTCATTTGTTTGAGAATTGTTTTTCCTTGTCATTTTGAAGTTCATTCTCGTGACCCA